TTTCTGATCTCACAGAAATTAATTCACCCTTTTACTTGTTTTTTATTGTTCTTGTTATGTTTTCTGATTCCTAAAGGTATTTTAAACTACGGCCTGCAGTCTCACAGACTTATGCCATGTCAATCTAACTTTGTTTGATTTTTCTGTGAAATTAGAGGGCCGTAATTCCTGATAAAAAAATAGGAGTTAAAGTTTGAGGGTACATTTCAGTTATTTAAGGGTAAAATTGCTACAAGGACTTTATAGTTAGTGTTTTAAAATGCCAAGAATTAAACTTACAAGAAAACAAAATCTTAAGAAATACAAAAATTCACAGTCAGAGTTCCTGATGTTTAATCGAATTTTTTGTGTGACTCTAAGAAGAAGAGAGAGCCAGATATAGATATGCTTAACTCATATAAAGAAAAAAACCTGTATCTGGATGCCAGAGGGTTGAGAGGCCTCTCTCTTGTTTTGGGGAAGTGCTCCAGTAGACAGACAGTAATATGTGCAAAATGATTTCTGTAAATGGAATATCTAAACATATGATCTGTGAAGTTTTTTTAAAGAAAATTATTACATTTCAGAAGTTAAAACTGAATTTTTATAGCTGACTAAATACCTTTGTTTTTAGCTAATTACATATGGCTCTGATAGAGCTGAAGCATTGCAAAGAATGGAAGAGGCTCTGGACAATTATGTAATTCGAGGTAACTACGGAAATTTGGGTTCCTAGTGTGGTAGGCTGGCATCTATTTCAAGAAAACAGCTTGAAAATGTAGTAATTAGCAAATTGAGTAAAGTTCCTGCTTATTAAGTGCAAATTAAACCAAGAAAAGCTTGTGTTAATTAAGCTGAGAAGATACATCAAATCTAAAGAGACTTCATTTTTTCCTGCAGCATTTTTGTTTAAAGTAATTAGTTAAATAATTTAATTAAATTACTTTCAAAAACTGATAAGAGCTCTCGCAAACTCATGGTAGATCCTGCATTTATTACCCTGTGAAATTCAAAGGCAACTATATTGTAATCATGCATAGTACTTTAGTAGATCTACTGTGTTCTTATAGTACCACAAGCCTGTGTGTTGAGTTTTTTCATTCTAAAGGGTTGTGTTAGCACTGGGGGAATACCATGGCATACAAATTTGGACAATATTTAGAACCCGAGATGATGATGATAAACCTCTCTTTCAGCTCTCTTCCCAGGCCTACCTGTGAGAATCAGATGTTTTTCTTAAGCTCTTTATAGAACATGGATGAGTCTGCCATAATGAATCTTGACTCTTTCCCCCTTTAAGCTCCGGAGAAGGTCTTTGTTTCTCCTCTGAGTTCAAAGGAGAATACAGGGAGAAACAGTGTCTTGGGGGGAATTTTGTTCCACTCTCCAACCCCTGAAGGCCGCCAGAGAGAGAGAGGCTATGTGGGGGAGAGCCACCAGAATGATGGCTTAGGTTACCTTTTTGGGGATGTGGCTGAGAAAAGGAGTTAACGTGCACAATGTCCTTTTTAGTTCTTCGAGCAGTGTCCCTATGGACATCGGTGATGCCTATCTGTAAGTGGGCCAATAAAAAATATGACGTTCTGGTTATGGAGACAGAATTTCTTTTCTCCCATCCTTCCCCAACCTCATCATCATCGACGTGGTAAACTCATGGGGCTGTCCGTACCGAATGAGATCCACCCCTGTGATAGGGTTTGGAAGTGCCTGGAACTCTTCGGGAGGAAAGCCTGTTCCTCGGCCATGCTACAGTTTTGAATAGCAAATTATCGAGCCTTAATGACAAAATATGACTGTCAATTATTCAGAACTTAACAGCTTTATTGATCAGCTTCCAGAGTCGCAGAATGACCAGTTCAAAGCTATCATCCAGGAAGGACAGCTAGTAGCCAAAACAGTGCTACAGTCTGCCCTCGATGCAGCCAATACAGCGGCTCGGTCCATCTCCACGGTGATGGTTATGTGACATGCATCATGGTTACACCTTTTGGGCTTCCCTAAAGAGGTGCAGTCGACTGTCAAAGACCTTCCTTTTGAAGGCACTAAGCACTTTGCAGAGAAGATGGATGCCTCTCTGCATACCCTTGAAGGTTCAAGGGCCACTCTCTGCTCATTAGTGATGTACACACCTGGACAAAACAGAAATTTAGTCCACAGCCCCAACACAATCACACACCTCTCAATACCCGACTCAGCACTTTTATGAACCTCAGAGACCATCCACCTCCAAACACCAATTGTGACATGTTGATCAAGGTGTCGATAGACAACTCCCCTCAAATGCTACAGCTGACCAGTGTCTCCATCCCATTTGGCTACTGTCTCGTCATGATCTGCAGCACCTGGGAATGCATAACATCAGACCAGTGGGTTTTGGAAATTGTTCACAAAGTGTATTCCATCCACTTTACCTCCCTCCCCTGCCCACAACACCTTCCCTGTTCCTCTTCTGGGATCCTTCTCAAGAGAGTACACTCGAGACAAGAAATAGATTGCCTCCTTCGGTTAGGAGCCATAGAACCAGTATCTCAACATCTATGAGGCAAAGGTTTTTACTCTCGCTATTTCCTAATACCCAAGAGAAAGGGAGGTTGGAGACCCATACTAGACCTCAGAGTGCTCAACAAGTTTGTTAAAGGTCAAAAATTCAAGATGGTCACTCTAGCAACGATTATTCCAGCATTAGAACGTGGAGACTGGTTTTCAGCCCGTAACCTTCAGGATGCCTATTTCCTCAGATTTACCCTAGGACAAAACCACTACCAATACAGAGTACTCCTCTTTGGGCTATCATCAGCTCCAGGAGTATTCTCCAAGGTTGCCTCAATAGTGGCTGCTCACTTACACTCCCGGGGGATCATGATCTACCCCTACCTGGACAATTGTCTCCTCAGAGCCCGGCTCTTCAAAGAGGCTCGCCAGGTTTCCAAAACTGCAATAGACTTATTCACGGAACTGGGCCTGCAGATCAATGCCTAGAAATCAACCCATCTGTAGTACAATGCTTGGAATTCATAAAAGTCGACCTCCGCTCATTACAGGCCAAAGCACTCCTACCTCAGCACAGGTTCCTCTCTTTGGCCACACTCATAGACACTGTACAAAACAGCCCCCAAATATCAGCCAGATATATCAACTCTTGGGGAATATGGCAGCGGGCACAGCGGTAGTACCAATGCCTGGCTTCACATGTGATGTCTCCAGATGTGGTTCAGTTCAGCTTACAGACCAAACAGAGGGGACTGGTATTTGGCCCCCAGCAGCACATCATCTGTTAATTGCCTAATACTGTGTTCCACAAAATATTTAAAAATAAAACAAAAAAAATCTGGTACTTGGGTTTTTGGGTGCTATGAGCAATATACTTCATATTAATGATATATCCTGTCATTTATAATATACCTCTACCCCAATATAATGCTGTCCTCAGGAGCCAAAAAATCTTACCACGTTATGGGTGAAACCATGCTATATTGAACTTGCTTTGATCCGCCTGAACGTGCAGCCCCACCCCCCCGGAGCGCTGCTTTACTGCGTTATATCCGAATTCGTGTTATATCGGGTCACGTTATATCGGGGTAGAGGTGTACATCACGTCACGTAATGCTCATGTGAGTCAGTTTTTAGCATGAACCAACATAGCACAGCATGATGTCATGGTGGTGTACATTAAATTTAGGGTTTAAATGGAAATCAGCAGATATTTTTGCATTGAGTACTTATTATTCACATAGCTAGTGCATAATCTGTAATGAAACCAGTAGGCAGAAATAAAGGATATAATATAAAGCAAGTGGTATGCATCAGCTGCTGAAAATCCTGGTTTGCAGGTCTATCCAAATTCTTTTCGATAATGGTGCAAATGTTTAATAGACACACACTGATTCTTTTTAGCCTATATGTGTGGCTATAACCCAGCAAAAACCAGGACATTTAAATTTCCGTCTGACATCATGTAAATGATCACACCCAAACAGTCTGTAATAAACCAATGCCAGTGCCAGAACACTTTGATGGTGACTGTCCATAAATTAGTAACCTACGTGTAAAGTTCACTAAATGAAACATGATCAGACCTAACTACCTAGTAGCAGACATTTTAGTTAAAAGTTTCTGAGCTCAAGTTTAGAGTTTGTGTTTCTGACGTCTCCCTTCTTTACAGGTTTACTCAGTTCCCATAAGAAAAAGACATGACAAAAGCAGAACTAAGGGGAAAAAAATCAGTTTTATTTATCTACAGTATGTGAGGAAAAATGCTAATTACTTCTACATGTCACATCAGGATGGGATGCAGAAATAGTTTATTGACACCTTAAATGGCTGCTTCTTGGAGTAGCTAGTCTTAGAACCCCGAAGAGAGTCAATTCTTGATTTAATCCTAAATGGAGTATAGGATCTGGTCCAAGAGGTGAATATAGCTGAACTGCTTAGTAATAGTGACCATAACATAATAAAATCTAACATTCCTGTGGGGGAGGGAATAACTAAAGCAGCCTACCACAGTAGCATTTAATTTCATAAAGGGGAACTACACCTAGGGAGGTGGTGGAATCTCCTTCCTTAGAGGTTTTTAAGGTCAGGCTTGACAAAGCCCTGGCTGGGATGATTCAGTTGGGAATTGGTCCTGGTTTGAGCAGGAGGTTGGACTAGATGATCTCCTGAGGTCCCTTCCAACCCTGATATTCTATGATTCTATGATACACAAAAATGAGGAATTTAGGTAAACAGAAATTAAAAGGTACAGCACCAAAAGTGAAATCCCTGCAAGATGCATGGAAACTTTTTAAAGACACCATAATAAAGGCTCAATTTAAATGTATACTTCAAATAAAAAAAACATAGTAAGAAGAACAAAAAAGTGCCACCGTGGCTAAACAACAAAGTAAAAGAAGCAGTTAGAGGAAAAAGGCATCCTCTAAAAAGTGGAAGTTAAATCCTATTGAGAAACTAGAAAGAAGCATTAACTCTGGCAAGTGAAATGTAAACATATAATGAGGAAGGCCAAAAAATAATTTGAACAACAGCTAGCCAAAGACTCAAAAAGTAACAGCAATTTTTTTTAAGTACATCAGAAGCAGGAAACCTGCTAGATAACCTGTGGGGCCACTGTACGATCAAGATGCTAAAGGAGCACTCAAGGAGCACACAGTTCTTTGAGGGGACAACAAGCATGTGGACAAGGGGGATCCAGTGGATATAGTGTACTTAGATTTTCAGAAAGCCTTTGAAAAAGTACCTCACCAAAGGCTCTTAAGGAAAGTAAGCTGTTGTGGGATAAGAGGGAAGGTCCTCTCATGGACATAGTTAAAAGATAGGAAACAAAGGGAAGGAATAAATTGTCAGTTTTCAGAATGGAGGGAGGTAAATAGTGGTGTCTGTCCCCCAGGGGCCTGTACTGGGACTAGTACTGTTCAACATATTCATAAATGATCTGGAAAAGGGGGGAAACTGAAGTGGCAAAATTTGCAGATGATACAAAACTACTCAAGATCGTTAAGTCCAAACAGATGGCAAAGAGCTTCAAAGGAATCTCTCAAAACTGGATGACTGTGCAACAAAATTGCAGATGAAATTCAATGTTGATAAATGCAAAGTAATGCACATTGGAAAACATAATCCCAACTATACATATAAAATGATGGGGTCTAAATTAGCTGTTACCACTCAAGAAAGAGATGTTGGAGTCATTGTGGGTAGTTCTCGGAAAACA